AATGGGAATATTTGGCCCAGACTTATCCCTGATTTAAATAATCCCTTATCACATGCATCTATGGATTCTAATCAATATAATGTGTCGGAGACTCAATGCAAGATGAAGGTTATGTTGGAACATCATATTAACTTTATTGGTTGTCAAGAAACACAAATGGTTGATTATTTTTCGGTTCAGATTAAGCAATTATGGGACAACTCTCCCTTTGATTCCATTGTTGTTGAGTTATGAGATCGATCGGGTGATTTTATTTTGTCTATGGAAACCTTCTTTGTTCAAGGCGGAAGAGATTATTAAGGGTAGCAATTTCATTCTATCTCTGGAACATGGAATAGGATTACTCAAAAAGTTCACCTCGTCAATGTTTATGCTCCGAATGAAATTGATGAAAGTTCTTCACTGTGGGCCAGCTTATTGCAAATTAAATCCAATAGATATTGCAACAATCCTGATGTTAAAATTCTCAAAAAGCTTAGGCGTCTTAAAGCTGATATAAGGCATTGGAGAATAGATATAAAAAATAAAGAAATAGAATACTCAATTCTCACGAAGCAGAGTGATCAGGTTGAGTTAACAGTAGAGGAGAGACTTCTTACTTCCCATGAAAGACTGTCTAGAAAAGGGATATATACACTAAAGTCCCAATATTTTCATCGATCTGACAAGAAAGTCCTAAACTTTCTTTTCTTGACAGTAAAGTCCTAATTACCAGCAGTTTTTGATACTTTACCCTTTTTTCCGGTTATCCGGTAATTAGGACTTTTTTTTGTCAAATATATAAAGTTTAGGAATTTTTACGAAAATCATGAATTAGGACTTTACTGTCAAAAAATAAAGTTTAGGACTTTTTTGTCAAATCGTTGAAAATATTGAGACTTTAGTGTATTTTCGTAACCCAAGAACTTTTAATTGTGACTTTTGTTGCAGCGCCAGTATTTTTCTTACCATCATCATCTTTAACCTAATACAATCAGGATCAGGAGAAACAGATGCAAAAGAGAGAGCGAGAAAGGGTGAAAAGACTTGTAAAACTTTCTTCTTGCTTCGCCGCCAAATCTTGAACTAAAAAGTGAGGACAGATTATATAAACACAAACAACACATACCTAGTCAAAAGGGTGTGAATGTGGAGAAAGGGGTACAAAGGGCAATTTTGTTTTTTTTTTTCGGTTTCTTAGTCTCCATTTTTGGGACTGCAAAAAGCCAACACAACCCTGATTATTTCTTTCTTTTTTTATTATCTCCATTTTTTTCAATGTCGGTTTGTTGAGATTAAAAAACTATTTAACAAGAAGCAAACGTTAAAGATTTCAATAGGATCTAGCTAAATAGAGAAGGTTTCAATAACTCTTATGCTTAAAGAGTATCATACCATTAAATTTCTAGCCAAAAAAAGGGATACATACACTAAAGTCCTAATATTTTCAACGATTTGACAAGAAAGTTCTAAACTTTATTTTTTTTTAAAGTAAAGTCCTAATTCATGATTTGACAAGAAAGTCTTAAACTTTATATTTTTGACAAAAAAAAAGTCCTAATTAACGGCTAACCGGAAAAAAGGGTAAAAGTATCAAAAACTGCCGGTAATTAAGACTTTACTGTAAAAAAAATAAAGTTTAGGACTTTCTTGTCAAATCGATGAAAATATTAGGACTTTAGTGTATATATCCCTCTAGAAAAAATTAGAAAAGCATAGTATTAGAGATCGACACCCTAAAAAGACCCGATTTAAAGCAAAAAGCACGGGTTAACTGGAAGTCTGGAATGTTGATGGAGACGAAAATAGTAAGTTTTTTCATGGTTTAATTAACAATAATGGGAAGATATGAAACTTTTTTTTTGATAAATTTTGATGAATATATCTAGGCCTAAATTTATCAATATGAAATTCATGAAGCTGTCTAACCTCGATCGGTATGGCTTGGAGAGTTCTTTCTCAACGGAAGAAATAAAAATGGTTGTTTCACATTGTGGCAATGATAAGGCAACGAACCAGACGACTTCATATTTAATTTTATTTAAAAGTATTGGGAGGTTCTTAAAGACGGCATTTTTATTCATTAAAAACTTTAAGATGACCGGAACAATCAACATGCACTGCATCCTTCATCTCTCTTATACCCAAATGTAGTGACCCGCTCTTTCTAAAAGACTGCAGGCCGGTAAATGTTATCGGAAGTGTGTACAAGATTCTTTCAAAGGCACTTACTTTAAGACGCAAGAAACTTATCAATAATATGATCAGTCCGGAGCAAACAACCTACATTAAAGGGAGAAACATTCTCGATGGCCCTCTTGTTTTAAATGAGATATTTTCTTGGGCTAAAAAATCAAGCAAAAGTGTTTATCTTCAAAGTTGACTTCGACAAGGCGTTCAATTCTTTCAATTGGGGATTCTTGGATTTTATAATGGAACAAATGAACTTTAGTGTTAGATGGAGGAAATAGATCGATGGTTGTTTAGGTTCCGGAAGAGCCTCTATTCTAGTTAACGATTCCGCAACAAAATAATTTGACATTAAGAGAGGAGTGAGGCAAGGCGACCCCTCTTATCGTTCATCTTCGTCATTGCCATGGAAGGCCTTAAAATTTATTTAAGGGAGGCTTGTGAGAAACATCTTTTTTAAGGCATTACGCTTCCCAACAATGGGCATTTACTATCACATCTTCTTTATGCGGATGATGTGACTTTTATTGGAGAATAGTCAGAGACTAATCTTATAAATCTAAATAGAAGACAAAACTGCAAAATTGGTCCCCATAGTATTCAAAAAACTTTGGATGGGGTCCAAAAACTTTCCCACTTGCATAGAAGGTCCAAAATCAAGATTTTACTTGGTTTTTAGTCCCCGGAGAACTTGAAATGTCTACTTTGCCCTTTTAACTTCTTTTTTGTATTTTTTAAATATTTTCTTTAATACTTTATTAATTAAACATTAAAAGTAGAAGAATTGGGCCCACCCCACCCCCATCGGTACCCTCCCCCATCTCCCCCCCTCTCTCTCTACGTAACCTCTTCTTCTTCATTTTCAAATCGAAGACTTCAGTCTCCCATAAATTTCGGCGATTATCACTATGACATTTCTTACTCTATTTCTCTCATTTCTTCCCTAATTTCACATTAGCAAAACCCCGACTAGGAACCACCGAAAACCCTAAAAGATTTTGACAATAATGGAGCTCTGCTCTACTAGTTGTTGCTTCCCCATCGGAGAGCTTAACGGTTGCCGACCTGACGCCCCTTCTTGTCTGTAAGTACATCGTCTCCTACTGTCCCCTTCCCCTTATCCTTCTCGAAACCTCGTCCCTTTTTTTATCTTCTGTTTTTGGTGAAACTAGCCACCACCTACACCCACTCTTCCCACATTCACTAGTAAAACCCATACCTCACAGATCCTCTGACATTGATCCTCAAGCACAAGCGCACCCAATGGTTTCCTTGATGATTCAGTTCAGATGGATGAGATAAACCGATGACCCTGTTGAGAGGAATATGACCACCAGATCACAGCCAACACTACCACTTGTAATCGATTACTAGAGGAAAGAGAAAAGAGGAGTTATACCCTTTTTCATTCGTCTTCATGCTGCCATATCGCTGCAAACATCACCACTTACAATCGATTGTAAGAGGAAATATGGAAGATGTAATACTAACTGTGAACAATGATCACCACCTATGGTGATGGGTTTGGGAGAAAGAAGAGTGATGGAGGTGGAGTTGGTTCAACAAGGGATTAGGGATTGGTGGTGGAAACAAGAGAGTTACAAGGGGAGTTTTTTTTTTTCAAGTTGCAAGTGTGTTTTTTTTTTTTCGAGTTGAGGCATGTATATGTATATGTGAAGTGTTTGTTTAAGCTTCAATGTGTTTCAACAAGCAAGAAGATGAAGTGTGTGGGTATGTGTGAATGACAAAGTGAGAGGTTGAGAGAGAGAGAGAGAGAGAGAGAGAGAGAGAGTACGATGGAGTGGGTGGTGGCTCATATTAATTTTTTTTTTCTTAAATCGAAATAACTTTAAAATAATTGTAGATAAAAGAAAGAAAATTAAAGGGCATAATCGTCTTTTCAAGCTCTCCGGGGACTAAAAATCCAGAAAGACCTTGATTTTTTATCTTTTATGCAAGTGGGAAAGCTTTTGGACCTCATTCAAAGTTTTTTGAATACCACATGGACCAATCTTGTAGTTCTGTCTAAATAGAATCCTAAGGTGTTTTCATGTCGCATCCGGTCTCAAAGTTAAACTTAACAAAAGCAAAGTCTTTGGGATATGATAGGATAATATTGAGCTTACTCGTGTTGCTAGTATCCTTTGTTGTGAGCATGCTTCTTTTCCTTTCAATTATGTTGGGCTTCCCATTAGGGCAAACATGAAGCTTACAAAAAATTGAAGATCTATTGTAGATAAAATCAAATTGAAATTGTCTAATTGGAAAGCTAGAACACTCTCATTTGGAGGGAAACTTAGTCTTGTTAAATCCGTTTTAGGTAGCCTCCCTCGTTTTTATTTTTCTTTATTCAAAGCTCCAAAAAAGATAATCGGTTGTTTGGAAGGAATCAAACGTAAATTTTTTTGGGGAGAGGAAATGATAATATTAAAAAGATACATTGGATTGCTTGGAGGACTTTGGTTGTGCCAAAAATAAAGGTAGTCACTATTATTTGATGTATTGGATGTGTCTTAATTAAGTAAGTTGAAATCTTTGACACGAAATTATTTTTGCATGTAGAATATGTGTCAAAAATATCATAAGGTTGCATTGATCTTTCTAGAAGTTAGAGAAAAGTATCCGCCGTTGATCGCCGGTAGAGATTCCTGTGGTCCCCGGCCACCGATTGTTCGCTGGCTCCTTTAATTTATTTGTTCAAATGGATAACTCTCATTTTCAGTTCCAACTCACCAACACGTATTCATCCCCAAATCTCCCCTTATAAATCCACCATACAAAAATCCATATCCAAAAAAAACTCACAACACAAACAATTTATTCACATATCAATGGCTATTTCGACTGCATCTGCATCTTCCTTCTTTACTTCCCCTAATTTCTCCCTCAATTTAAACTCATCGTCAAAATCAAGTTCAAACTCCGTCAACTTCCGAAGAGCTCCGATTTCAGCTGCTTACGCCACCGCTGAGAAAACGGAGACTATTAGATCGTTCTGTAATAAAACTCCTTCCTCATTGTATGAAGTGCTCGGAGTTCCAATCGGAGCTGATACACAGGAGGTGAAAGCTGCGTATCGGAGATTAGCGAGAGTTTTGCATCCTGATGTCGGAAGGATTGACTCGTCGGCTGATGAATTCATGAAAGTGCATTCAGCTTATGCTACGCTAACAGATCCGGCGAAACGAGCGGATTACGATCGAACTCTGGTGCAGAGGCGCGCAGGTGTTTCTTCTCCGGTGAGTTTTTCCGGCGGATACAGGAGTCGAAGATGGGAGACGGACCAGTGCTGGTAGAAGTTGCTCCTTTGAAATTCGATCGACATTTTAGAGATCTTGAACATGTAAATATGGAATCTTACAATACTTGGCTAGATTTTGAAGCCATAGCATTGAACTATTTGATCTTAGTTTTTTTTTTATGAATCTTGTTAATTTTGTAGATGAAATTATTATCTTTAAATCAAATATGGTGTTATCAGGAATTATGGTTGATTCAATGACATTACGAATTTATTTTTTATCACATATTAATTGTTGTTAAAATATCAACAGTGATTAGGACTGCCGACTTAAAGTCTTTCTATTTCTAGAATGTTTAATTTGAAAATTGACAAAATGTTTGCATGTATAATCTATTATACAACCAGTTGGTTATTTATATATGCCAACTAAATGATGCTATAATAATCTATTATACAACCAGTTGGTTATTTATATATGATGCTATGATTACAAAAGCGATATTTCAATGCAAATATTTCGAAGACAAATAAAGTGTCGGTTTGTAAAAACGTAATAAAATTTCAATAAACTATACAAAAAACAAGTATGTTAAATTATTATACATAACGTTTGTAAAAAAAATACATAAAATTATAAAGTTAGCCTAATTGCCTAATGATTTTTACAAAATGACCAAAAACTAGCTAATAGTCCAAAATAGTCACCTAAATGGCCAAATCTCACCGAGATTAAGGGAGTTGCGGTTTAGGCACCTAGCCTATGGTTTTTTGATTTCGTACATGCCCGTTGTGGTATTAAGCGTTTGGGGTGCTGTTTTGCGATTCCTATGTGGTTTCACGACCCATTGACCTATAATATATAAAGTTGAAAATTTTCATTTGTTATTTTCGGGTTTGCAAGCATACAACTTTTTTTTTTTTTGAAAAAGCGTAAAAGATTAAAATTAAAAACCATTTAGCATGAAGCTAGAGAAAAGAGAATACAAAGAACCGTATATCATTGGAATTTGAAGCCACAATGACCAAGTAATAGTATTTCTATTGTATCTACCATCAAACAATTGAAAAGAAGTAATAACAATGTTCTAAAAAGGGCACTCCTAAGCATAGGTGGCAAATTGAACATCACACTATTCATGTACCTCCATATAAACCAAATTGTGGTCAGCACAATAACTCCCAACACCTTCCTATTCTGGACATTAACCCTAATCGAGTCAACACAATATAATAACTCCAAACTAATAAATAAAAGGGGGAAATGGAGATCCAACTATTTAATCACCTTAATCCATATCTTATTCGCCACATCACACAAAACAAAACACATGATTCACTTCCTCACTAGCCGACATACATGAAGCACATATCACCAAGGGCAAATTGATGTTTCTGACATCCAAGTTGTTCCTAGTAGGAAGTCTATCCAAGAAAGCACGCCAAAGAAGAACGTTAACCTTGATTGGAACTAGACGACACCATCTAGTAGCAATAAAGCCGGAAGGAAGGATATACTTGTCTATATAACACCTGGTACAATTAATGTAAAGTCACCATCTGTCTTTAACTCCCACTCCCACCTATCACTCCCAGCCGAGAACACCACCTGAGATAACATTCCAATCAATTCTTCAAGTTGATCAGCAGAAGCACTACCCGTGATATCCCTATTCCAAGCCCAAAACCACTCACCATTTTGCCACCTAGCAACAACAAGACAATATTTTTGAGTCTTCAATGCATAGAGCCTTGGAAATAGAGCCATTAAGCTCATATTCCCTAACCAAACTTCTTGCCAAAAACGAGTAACATTCCCATTCCCAATTGATTTTTGCAAAAAGAATGGGGCAAAACCACATCAACATGTAACTTATCCCACATCTTCAACATAGACAACCACACTCCACGACCTCTCGACGTAAGATGGGATATACCAATACCCCCTTAAGATCCATATATACTTCTAATTACCTTAACCCAAATGGAGTTTGTATCTATATGGAATCTCCATTGCCACTTAAAAATCAAAGCCAAATTAAAGGACTTCAAGTTGTCAATCCCTAACCCACCTTTATCTGTGAAATTTAACATTAACTCTCACTTGAACCGAGAAATTTTTCGTTCCTTTTTCTTAGCACCGTAGAAAAACCGAGATCTCAAGGATTGAACCAGCCTATACACAGCCTCAAGAGCCTTGAACAACGACATATAGTAAATAACAAGGCTACCAAGAACAACTTTCGACAAGGTCAATCAACCACCTATTGAAAGCAAGTGAACTTTCCAATTAGCAAAGCCATTTCTTGAACTTCAAAATAAAATTACTCCAGGTATCAATTCTTCCCATATTCTCCCCAACAGGAAGACCCATATACGAGAAAGGAATGGAAGCAACAGAACATCCAATACACACGACCCCCTCTTCAACTTCATAATCATTTTTACCAATCCCAATCAAATTCGATTTCTGCATATTAATACATAACCCAGAAACTAAATAATAACAGTTAAGAACCATAATCAGGTTAGAAATATTTGTTTCCTCCTATTCACCTAAAAACAGAGCATCATCAGCCTAAAAAAGATAAGAGAGAGCCACATGATCGTTTCCAATAGAGATACCACGAAACCAACTCTGATTCACCACATCTTCCAAAGCCACGTGCAGACCTTCCATAACAATAATAAAAATAAAATGAGATAAAGGATCCCCCTACCGAAGAGCCTTCTGCAAAGTGAATTCCCGAGTAGCCGACCCATTGACTAGAACTGAAGTACAAGAGAACTCCAAAATAACTTTAATCCAAGTATCCAACCAATCCACTTCTGGTCAAACCCCATAAACTCCATTAACTTCGTAAGATACTCCCAACTTACAGAGTCATAGGCTTTATCAAAATCTACTTTAAATATGAACGTCTTCTTCTTTTTCTTCTTGTACCAGTTAATAACTTCATTTACCAATAAAGGGCCATCTAAAATGTATATGCCCTTAATAAAAGAGCAGACTGCTCATAACTGACAATACTGTCAATCACCACTGCTAGACGATTAGCTAAAAGTTTCGTATTTATCTTATATTGCAACCCAATTAAGCTAATAGGCCTATACTCTATAATGCATGTAGGATTCTCTTTCTTTGGAATTAAAGTGAGAAAAAAAGAGTTACATCCATACGGGATATAACTAATCTCTGCGAACTCCTGAACAAAACCGCACACATCATTTTTAATAAGATCCTAGAAATGTTTAATGAAACAAAAAGAGAACCCATCAGAACCCGGGGCACGATCACTCTCTCATGACCACACATCAACCTTAATATCTTCTTCAGTAAACACCCTACTCAAACTCAAAGAAAGCTTGATCAGAAGAAAGTTTTTTTTTAATGAGAGCTAGGGAAAAAAGCCGAAGCACCTTTAAACTGCTTAAAGTTTTCTTTAAAAAACTTAAAAAATTCATCTTTCACTTGAATGGGATCAGTCATCCACAAACCATCCACCATGAGACCAAAGATAACAAGTTTTCTTCTTTTTCTCTTTAAATGAGAATTAAAAAACTTTTAATTTTCATCCCCTTCAACACCCCCACTTAGTATTAGCTTTTTGAGAAAAATCCATCTGTTCAATTTTATCCAAACTAGCAAGCTTTTTGACAATATTAGCTCTAACCCTCACCAAATCACCATCATTAACTTCCTTGTCTACCTCATCTAGTTGCTCCAATAAATCCTTCCTAAGAGCACGATTTTGATCAGCCACGGCCTTATGCCAAACTTTCATTCTTTCTTTTAAGCCTTTAAGTTTATTTTTAAAGATAATAAAATTATTGGCATTTTATTCAACAACAAAACCAACTCGTACCTTCTTCACCATATCCTCAAACCCATCTAGTAAGAACCAAGAGGGAAACAATTTAAAGGGAGTTGGACCATAGTCAAAAGATTCACTTTTTAACACTATATGACTATGATCCGACCACAGCTGAGGGAGAAACAATACCAACCATATTCGAAAAAAGATCCATAACCCCATTAGAACACAAAAAGTTGAACATCAATAAGGTACATATCAATAATAAAATTACTAAATTCATCCGCCGTAAGAGAACAAAAAGTTGTGCCACTTCTTTCATCAATGGAGCGAACCACATTAAAATCACCAAATATAATGAATTCCCCTCTATTATGTCGCATAAAGGAAGCAACATAATCCCATAACTCCTTTTTTCTACGTCTATCTTGTGGAGCATATACATTCACAATAAAACATTTCACATTAGGGCCCACCGCCTCTCCCTCAACAATAAGACTATTATCACCAAACCATGTCCTACTTTTTCTGAACATAGCTGAATCCCACAGAGTCAAAATACCACCAGAACGACCCCTTGCACTACTATTTGCCACTTCAAATTGATAGAAGATAAAATAAATCTAAACACATCAGCTTTATTTCCTGAATACCTAGCACACTAATACCATGATCAACACATAAATTTTTTTATCCATCTCTTCTTCTTATGGCATTTAATGCCACACTCATTAATGGACAAAAAATTCATTTAAACTTTCCTGTAACAACACTTCTATCAACCATCTTAATAATGCCATTTTTACATTACCTTTATGAGAAGAAGATGATGAAATCTTTCCAGTAGGGACTGATCTAGACTGAATTGGAGATTGAAATTGGAATCCATGAAACCCCGGTGGAAAGGTGGCTGAATTTAAATCCATATGACTTCCTGATTTATCGACATCGACAACCTCATTCTTTTTGGGGTTGGAAAACTCTTCTATTAAACACTGAAATAGAATTACAATAGGAGGAGCAACTCTCACACTCAACTATTACAAAAAACCAACCCTCTCACTAACACACTCACTCTAAGTGTTATAGTATCTATTTCTCTGTGTTTGGGATGCTTACAACTGAAGAATGAAGTCTCTATTTATAGTCTTGGCAGCCACCATTTTTGTTACCTTCATTAACTGTGTTCATCATAGGGTTGGAAGAGTTTGCCACCCTAGGTTTCATTTTGTCAACAAAA